GGTGTGTTTAAGAAAATACCCTCAAACGGCTATTTTAACAAAGTTTTATAGTGCACCATTTCAAATTCAACAAGCATTGCGAAGTCAATAAACGCTAATCCCGCTTTGAATACCTCACCCAATGAGGGCTGTGGAAAAGCAGGAGAGACGGCAGTGGGAAAGGCCCTCAAGTACGAAATGCTGAAGGCGAGATTCATGAGATGCAAAATAACCTCCTGCAAAGAATCAAAGCCCAACCAAGCCAATCCTCCAATGATGCAGCGGGTGTCATGTTAAAGACATCCGAAGAACAGCAACAAAAAGGCCAAGGTTCCGAATCAGGTTAGCGAAACAACATCCAGTCAAACAGCTGCGAAGCCGAAGATTCAATTATTGTACGGTTGCACTCAACACTTCAAATTAACTGACTTCAAGACGATCTATTTGCACATATCTGACGAGCCAGGGGTAATGAATTCAAATAGAAGAATGACTGAGCGAACAGGACCTGAGTTCCAGTGAATCACAACCAAAGGAGTCGAAAGGCAACATCACGAAGACAATTTCTTTACATTGCAGAGGTAGAGGCTACAAACAAGCAAGGCAGAGAGAACTACTTTGAGGAACAGGAACCGCCCACTCTGAGGGTGTTCCAAGTGAACTCAGCTGTGATGGCATTAAGGTTGCAGGTCTCCAAGTCAGCGTAAAAAGGGGCCAATCCTACAGAATAGTGATGAAGGAGTGTCTTCCCCAGCTACAGACCTCTCCGATAAACACATTCAGTAAAAGCATGAGATTTGCATCCTCCCATTCATTCATTCATGTTTATCTGTGCCAGTAATGGTAGTATTCTTGATAAGCACATAACCTCTAGCGAAAATATCGTGCAGTGTGGACTGCTTACTACAACACAAAGCGGATAATTTGCAACAGAAGAGACCCTTAAATCAACTTCTAATGTGTTTCAGACATTCTTAACAACTTCAGCAGGTCAGGGTGGTGGGGCACAATAAGCCATATCCACGCTTTTCACCGTGAATAAAAACTCCACTTCAACATTGCCGACGGCAATAATAAAAATGAAACTACACTCATCGCGTCGAAGCATCACACCGACAGCCAGTGAGGAAGCAGACGGCAGGCTCGGCACCTCCGAGTGAGTCAGGTACTCCCTACGGCAACGAAGATGAGGCTACACCCAGAATATTGCTCTACTAAACAGAAAAAGATAAACGAAAAATTCTAAGCAGTAGCTACTCTGGAGAATAGGCAAAGTGAAACAAGCAACGCATTCGTTGCTCGGGCTTCGTTCTCGCCTGCCCTGCCACAACCGCAGTTCCCCACCTATCCACCTCAATCCGACCTAATTTCCTACTTTCCACCACTCAAGCACCTAACCTCCTTACTCGCATCAGTCACTAAAACTGCTTCCACTTCTACCATTTCAGACCCTAATTCTCCAATCTACTTCACTTCCTCCCACCATTCCGGAAATCAGTCCTCCACACATCTACCGTAGTTACACCAAATTCTCCAGTTGCTATCACTCCTGGATATAGTTTCTCAAATATCCACAAACGCTCCTCCTCAAGTATCTAATCCCTACCACTGCAAAACCTGATTCTCCACCCAACTGTTCCCTTGAAATATCTACTTTCCACCAAGCCTGAACTGGACCCTCTACATACCTACCCAAATTCGCTCCGGTTACCCAGTTCGCATCACTTTAGAACCCTACTTCCTATCTGACTCAGTTCCTCTCCAAATATCTAGAGCCCATCACTCCAG